GGTGATAGGGGCGGGCTCTGGAAGTGCGGTTGCTGAATGAAGTGAATTGATATGTTTGGAATTCGTTCCCTTATTTTTCTTTATACTGTTTTTTTTTTGGTATACTCAGAAAATGGTTAATGTTTTTTTCATGTTGTCACAGGACCCCCCTTGAAAAAAGAGATGGTTCATCTCAAGGGGTTATCCTTAAGAATAAATATAAAAAAAAAATTAGGAAGTAGTTTTACCCAGTTTGACGCGGGATGGTGTAATTGTATTATTAAAGAAAGTCGTGGGGTCCCTTGCCAAGTGATATTAGTATTTTAGGCTCAATTGCACTAATATCTGTTTGTCGAAGTTTAGCGACGTTGGCTGAAACAAAAATCTTCAGTTTTTTATATGCTTCTATGAAGTTTTGAATAGTATGAGTTAGAAGCCCTGGCGAAGGGGCCTTCTTGTAATTTTGTACACCTGCACAGACAGGCTACAAGTGGGGGAGTGATAACAGTGCCTCTCCAGCTAGCCTAACATTTGTTTTAAGCGTTTGTAGCTGCATAATATACCACGGCAACATTGACCTAATCCTAAATATTCTGTCTAATCGGACGCTGCATTTAATGCAGATATATAAATATTCCATATTGTTGGTCCACAGTTTTGTCGATGACTGATGACTTGAGACAGCAGTGACTCTGGGCTCACCTGAATGGAATTCGCATTGGTTCGAAAGATGTGTGTTGGACAATGTTGACTAACAAACCCAGTTCTAACTGGTGTTGTTTGCATGAATGCAAAACTAAACGTAAACTCAAAATAAAACTGCTGGGGATTTAAGTAGTAATGAGTGTGCAAACCCTTCCATTGGCAGGGATAAGTTTTAGGATGTTTGTTAACAATTCATAAAGGTTAAAATAGGGTTAAAAAGTTTGGGACACAGATGATAAAAACTTCTTTATTATAAAACACTTTAAAGACAATGATAACAATAAGTAAAATGTTATGCTACTTTTCTCACTTTTGATACTGTTTTTCTACACAGCAAGAAGTCCTGGGGTTGATCCACTTGCCAAAAAATGCCTTTCAATGTGTAGACATAGATTGTACGATTTTTTCTCCGGTTTACCACTAAAAACATGTACAATAGGGTTGAGTACTGGGACTGCAGATGACAACTACTCTACCTATTTAATCTTGTGCAAAACATATTTGTCTCTCTGAGCGTAATGGTCTCTGAACTACTGTCCCCTTTCAATAAAAAATTAACTAAACTAGGTGATGTAAATGTGGACAACAAGATGCAAACATAAACGTTCACATACTGTACCATTGCCAGTATCTTCATCAAATGAAATGCAGCGTGGTCGACCTGGCTATCAATGCTTCATGTTTTGCCACTTGTAATAATTACAGTCTATGTAAGGTTTGATGTGGGCTGTCTGTATATTTACGTCTCTGTTATATGTCACTCATTTGTCACTCAAGAGTTGAAACAAAAGTCACGACACTCAAACGTTTGTAACGCATTGTAAAGGTTCTTGCTTAGACAAAGAGTTAATGTGATCACATATCTATGTTGGGGGTATGTAATCCCCTTACTTTACTCGCTAATTGGATTAAGTAACGGTTACTTTTATTACGTCTGACCAACACTATGTTATATGTCACAGACTAGATCAACAACAAAGTTCCTTTAAAAAGTTTGGGCCCCTAGCACTCAATCATACTACAGTCATACCTATTCAACCTGGGTTTTTTTAAAAAAAAAAAAATAGACACCCCTGTATTTAGAAGGTAGGAGTCACCGGAGCGCCATGCAAACTCACACAAAAAGTCCCTGTGAAATGTAACGTAGAACATTCAGCTAGACAAAACTAAACTGCTCGGCTGTCCAAAATAATCCTATTAATACATCCCCGTCAGATAAGTTTGTCATCAATCTGAAGAAAAACTCTAATAATCCTGGGTCCCCTATCATTGGCAAATGGTTTTTACTAGGATACTTCAGGGGTAATAATTTGTTCTCAGGACCCACCATGCAGGACTACTACTACTCCCACTGCAAGATTTACACAGATTGTCAACATTTACCAGCATTATAGCCTCGGTGGGAGAGCCCCCTCCAAAAGCCAAGCGAAGCAATCAATAGTGTTATCACCTTAATGTTTATTTGTTGCTCGTTGCAGTTGTTGCATTGGGTCCATTATGATGTTAGCAACTGCTGACCTCAACTCATCCGCTGTCTTTAAATGTTTCGCCGCTCCTCGACAAACAGCAGTGTTGGTTTCGCTCCTGCAGGTTTTCAACCAATCTCATGACTATCACCAACTTCTCATGTGTACTAACTGCGACTTTGTGAGCATTGGCAGAAAAAGCGTCATATAAAGGAGCTGTATGTAATAGGCACGCTCAATATCTTAATAAGTCACTACGGGTAATTCAATTCAACTGAAATGAATCACAACATCAAGGAGGACTTCTTTAAAACCGATGAATTCGCCAAACAGATCAGAGAATTAAACAGTTAAACACAAGAAATGCAAAGACTAAAATGACCGAGCGCTATTGTTCTACAAGGTCAGAAAAATGTGCAAAAATGTGATAATGTCCAGAAATGTTGTGAATGTTGAGTGTCCTGAAATATCACCACTGCCAGAATCTTCGGTCACGACTTCAAGTCTAGCCCTCACTAAATAAACAGCTAATTAAGTGTTTAGTTAATAAATAAGTGTTAGTTATCATTTATGCTTATTAGCTATTAAAAGTATTTGTTTATATTCTTAGCTTTAATGGGTCTTGTAATCAACCTCTATACTAACTACTAACTGACACTTTCACATGGTGAGTTTAGGGTATAAAAAGCTCTTGAGGCGAGGATATTCTAGAAGTGATCACCCGGATCTTAATGCCGGTGAACAACATGTGGATCCTAAGCCTGGATTATGATGCGAATCCACCTGCTGGAGTAGCGCAAGGAATGGTACACGAGACGACAACAAAGCCACGACCTCGTGATCGAACCGTGTCCCACCTACCACTCATCACATTTCAGACCTATTATACTAGCTTGTAGTGGCAAGGTAACCCGAGCAAAGCTACGCAGACACAACGAGAACATGCAAACGACCACAGAGACCCTGTGTGGAGATGGAATCAAACCCCGCTAAAGGACACAAGGTGTAATTATCAAAATATGATTTTTTTATTGGTTTTAAAAAATACAAAAGAAAAAAACATATACATTTATACACAATTCAAAGGAGTAGGTAAAGTTTTTGTTTCCAGCCACTTTGTAACATTTTCTTTCTTTTGCAGTTGTCATATGATTCAGTTCAATTTCTTACAAAAACTTACAAACATTCAGATACAACACCATACATACAGAACAACACAACACCATACATACAGAACACAACACCATACATACAGAACAACACAACACCATACATACAGAACAACACAACACCATTACATACAGAACACAACAACATACATACAGAACAACACAACACCATACATACAGAACAACACAACACCATACATACAGAACACAACAACATACATACAGAACAACACAACACCATACATACAGAACAACACAACACCATACATACAGAACACAACAACATACATACAGAACAACACAACTCCATACATACAGAACACAACACCATACATACAGAACACAACAACATACATACAGAACACAACACCATACATACAGAACACAACAACATACATACAGAACACAACAACATACATACAGAACAACACAACACCATACATACAGAACACAACACCATACATACAGAACACAACTCCATACATACAGAACAACACAACACCATACATACAGAACACAACACCATACATACAGAACACAACAACATACATACAGAACAACACAACATACATACAGAACACAACACCATACATACAGAACACAACACCATACATACAGAACACAACACCATACATACAGAACAACACAACACCATACATACAGAACACAACACCATACATACAGAACACAACACCATACATACAGAACACAACACCATACATACAGAACACAACACCATACATACAGAACAACACAACACCATACATACAGAACACAACACCATACATACAGAACACAACAACATACATACAGAACAACACAACACCATACATACAGAACACAACACCATACATACAGAACACAACAACATACATACAGAACAACACAACTCCATACATACAGAACAACACAACACCATACATACAGAACAACACAACACCATACATACAGAACACAACACCATACATACAGAACACAACAACATACATACAGAACAACACAACACCATACATACAGAACAACACAACACCATACATACAACACAACACCACAGTATTATTACTACAGCAGTACAGTATTGTTACTACAGTAGCAGTACAGTATTGATACTACAGTAGCAGTGCAGTATTGTTACTACAGTAGCAGTGCAGTATTTTTACTACAGTAGCAGTACAGTATTGTTACTACAGTAGCAGTGCAGTATTATTACTACAGTAGCAGTGCAGTATTGTTACTATAGTAGCAGTGCAGTATTGTTACTACAGTAGCAGTACAGTATTGTTACTACAGTAGCAGTGCAGTATTGTTACTACAGTAGTAGTACAGTATTGTTACTACAGTAGTAGTACAGTATTATTACTACAGTAGTGCAGTATTATTACTACAGTAGTACAGTATTATTACCTCAGTAGTACAGTATTATTACCTCAGTAGTACAGTATTATTACCTCAGTAGTGCAGTATTGTTACTACAGTAGCAGTGCAGTATTGTTACTACAGTAGTAGTACAGTATTGTTACTACAGTAGTAGTACAGTATTATTACTACAGTAGTGCAGTATTATTACTACAGTAGTACAGTATTATTACCTCAGTAGTACAGTATTATTACCTCAGTAGTACAGTATTATTACCTCAGTAGTGCAGTATTGTTACTACAGTAGCAGTACTATAGGCAGCTCTTACCCAGAGGGGTCGGGGGTAAAGTGCAGGTTGCTCTGTGACGGGGAATGTTCCGGCAGCAAGATCTGTGGATACACCTCTACAAACTGAGGAGGCTCCACTTTACTGCAATCACAAACACACAGGATCAGGTCTGAGACTGGTCTGAGACTCAGACTCTGACAGGTCTGAGACTGGTCTGAGACACAGACTCTGACAGGTCTGAGACTGGTCTGAGACACAGACTCTGACAGGTCTGAGACTGGTCTGAGACACAGACTCTGACAGGTCTGAGACACAGGATCAGGTCTGAGACTGGTCTGAGACACAGACTCTGACAGGTCTGAGACTGGTCTGAGACACAGACTCTGACAGGTCTGAGACTGGTCTGAGACACAGACTCTGACAGGTCTGAGACACAGGATCAGGTCTGAGACTGGTCTGCGACTCAGACTCTGACAGGTCTGAGACTGGTCTGAGACACAGACTCTGACAGGTCTGAGACTGGTCTGAGACACAGACTCTGACAGGTCTGAGACTGGTCTGAGACACAGGATCAGGTCTGAGACTGGTCTGCGACTCAGACTCTGACAGGTCTGAAACACAGGATCAGGTCTGAGACTGGTCTGCGACTCAGACTCTGACAGGTCTGAGACACAGGATCAGGTCTGAGACTCAGACTCTTGACAGGTCTGAGACTGGTCTGAGACTCAGACTCTGACAGGTCTGAGACACAGACTCTGAGAGGTCTGAGACACAGGATCAGGTCTGAGACTGGTCTGAGACTCAGACTCTGACAGGTCTGAGACTGGTCTGAGACTCAGACTCTGACAGGTCTGAGACTGGTCTGAGACACAGACTCTGACAGGTCTGAGACTCAGGACCAGACTCTGACAGGTCTGAGACACAGGACCAGACTCTGACAGGTCTGAGACTCAGACTCAGACTGACAGGTCTGAGACAGTCACAGTCCAGTTCTTATTCACACACATAATTTAACATTCTTCCGCTTTTACAGAGATCTTATGTCAGTCTCCACTCACTGAGAACAAGACCTGAGTCGTTTTGAGATCATCATGTAACGACTCATTATGTCAGTGGTTCCGTGGGTCTGGTACCTGTAGTACGTGTTGGTACCTGTAGTACCTGTGCTCACCTCTTGTTCACCGTGTCCATGTCCACACACACCGTGGGGACCTTACTGCTGCAGTGCTGGTGGAACTTGTATGCACACGTCTGACAGCGGAAGCCGTTAAAGAGAAACTTGTGACAGAAATCACAGAAGGCCAGCTTGAAGAAGGTTTTACGTACCTGAGAACAGAACAAAGGGACGTGAAGAAAGAGCAAAGGGATTCTTTAGAAGTGACTGACGACAGACGACTTACAAAATTGTGCATAGAAAGTGGAATATCATCGAGGACCTCCACCAGCAGCTCCTCCCCCACCAGAGGAGTAATGTCTGTGTCCCAGTCCGTCAGACGCTTCCTCCTGCAACAGCACAGGTTAGCACAGGGACTGAGGAGCACAGGGACTGAGGAGCACAGGGACTGAGGAGCACAGGGACTGAGGAGCACAGGGACTGAGGAGCACAGGGACTGAGGAGCACAGGGACTGAGGAGCAAAGGGACTGAGGAGCACAGGGCCTGAGGAGCACAGGGCCTGAGAAGCACAGGGACTGAGGAGCAAAGGGACTGAGGAGCACAGGGCCTGAGGAGCACAGGGCCTGAGAAGCACAGGGCCTGAGGAGCACAGGGACTGAGGAGCAAAGGGACTGAGGAGCACAGGGCCTGAGGAACACAGGGACTGAGGAGCAAAGGGCCTGAGGAACACAGGGACTGAGGAGCAAAGGGCCTGAGGAACACAGGGACTGAGGAGCAAAGGGCCTGAGGAGCACAGGACCTGAGGAGCACAGGGACTGAGGAGCAAAGGGACTGAGGAGCACAGGGCCTGAGGAGCACAGGGCCTGAGAAGCACAGGGCCTGAGGAGCAAAGGGACTGAGGAGCACAGGGCATGAGGAGCACAGGGACTGAGGAGCAAAGGGACTGAGGAGCAAAGGGACTGAGGAGCACAGGGCCTGAGGAACACAGGGACTGAGGAGCAAAGGGCCTGAGGAACACAGGGACTGAGGAGCAAAGGGCCTGAGGAGCAAAGGGACTGAGGAGCACAGGGCCTGAGGAACACAGGGACTGAGGAGCAAAGGGCCTGAGGAGCACAGGACCTGAGGAGCACAGGGACTGAGGAGCAAAGGGACTGAGGAGCACAGGACCTGAGGAGCACAGGGACTGGCCTCCTGCTGTCTGGTCTCTCTCTGGTCTCTCTCTCTGGTCTCTCTCTGGTCTCTCTCTCTGGTCTCTCTCTCTGGTCTCTCTCTGGTCTCTCTCTGGTCTCTCTCTGGTCTCTCTCTCTGGTATCTCTCTGGTCTCTCTCTCTGGTCTCTCTCTGGTCTCTCTCTCTGGTCTCTCTCTGGTCTCTCTCTGGTCTCTCTCTGGTCTCTCTCTCTGGTCTCTCTCTCTGGTCTCTCTCTCTGGTCTCTCTCTCTGGTCTCTCTCTCTGGTCTCTCTCTCTGGTCTCTCTCTGGTCTCTCTCTGGTCTCTCTCTGGTCTCTCTCTGGTCTCTCTCTGGTCTCTCTCTGGTCTCTCACTGGTCTCTCTCTGGTCTCTCTCTGGTCTCTCTCTGGTCTCTCTCTGGTCTCTCTCTGGTCTCTCTCTCTGGTCTCTCTCTCTGGTCTCTCTCTCTGGTCTCTCTCTCTGGTCTCTCTCTCTGGTCTCTCTCTCTGGTCTCTCTCTGGTCTCTCTCTCTGGTCTCTCTCTCTGGTCTCTCTCTCTGGTCTCTCACTGGTCTCTCTCTGGTCTCTCTCTGGTCTCTCTCTGGTCTCTCTCTCTGGTCTCTCTCTGGTCTCTCTCTGGTCTCTCTCTGGTCTCTCTCTCTGGTCTCTCTCTCTGGTCTCTCTCTCTGGTCTCTCTCCCTGGTCTCTCTCTGGTCTCTCTCTGGTCTCTCTCTGGTCTCTCTCTGGTCTCTCTCTGGTCTCTCTCTCTGGTCTCTCTCTCTGGTCTCTCTCTCTGGTCTCTCTCTCTGGTCTCTCTCTCTGGTCTCTCTCTCTGGTCTCTCTCTGGTCTCTCTCTGGTCTCTCTGGTCTCTCTCTGGTCTCTCTCTGGTCTCTCTCTCTGGTCTCTCTCTCTGGTCTCTGGTCTCTCTGGTCTCTCTCTCTGGTCTCTCTCTCTCTGGTATCTCTCTCTGGTCTCTCTCTGGTCTCTCTCTGGTCTCTCTCTGGTCTCTCTCTGGTCTCTCTCTCTGGTCTCTCTTTCTGGTCTCTCTCTGGTCTCTCTCTCTGGTCTCTCTCTCTGGTCTCTCTCTCTGGTCTCTCTGGTCTCTCTCTCTGGTCTCTCTCTGGTCTCTCTCTCTGGTCTCTCTTTCTGGTCTCTCTGGTCTCTCTGGTCTCTCTCTCTGGTCTCTCTCTGGTCTCTCTCTCTGGCCTCTCTCTGGTCTCTCTCTCTGGTCTCTCTCTGGTCTCTCTCTCTGGTCTCTCTCTGGTCTCTCTCTCTGGTCTCTCTCTGGTCTCTCTCTCTGGTCTCTCTCTCTGGTATCTCTCTCTGGTCTCTCTCTGGTCTCTCTCTGGTCTCTCTCTGGTCTCTCTCTCTGGTCTCTCTTTCTGGTCTCTCTCTGGTCTCTCTCTCTGGTCTCTCTCTCTGGTCTCTCTCTGGTCTCTCTCTGGTATCTCTCTCTGGTCTCTCTCTGGTCTCTCTCTGGTCTCTCTCTGGTCTCTCTCTGGTCTCTCTCTGGTCTCTCTCTGGTCTCTCTCTGGTCTCTCTCTTCTCTCCTGTTATTTTTCTATATGTCACTTCCATGTGTTGTGGTTTGAAGTTAGGTCCCTGAGCTTGGAACCCAGACCCTGCTGAGTTCCCGGTGGGTTCTTACCCTCCCTGAGCTTGGAACCTAGACGCTGCTGAGTTCCCGGTGGGTTCTTACCCTCCCTGAGCTTGGAACCTAGACCCTGCTGAGTTCCCGGTGGGTTCTTACCCTCCCTGAGCTTGGAACCTAGACCCTGCTGAGTTCCCGGTGGGTTCTTACCCTCCCTGAGCTTGGAACCTAGACCCTGCTGAGTTCCCGGTGGGTTCTTACCCTCCCTGAGCTTGGAACCTAGACCCTGCTGAGTTCCCGGTGGGTTCTTACCCTCCCTGAGCTTGGAACCTAGACCCTGCTGAGTTCCCGGTGGGTTCTTACCCTCCCTGAGCTTGGAACCTAGACCCTGCTGAGTTCCCCGTGGGTTCTTACCCTCCCTGAGCTTGGAACCTAGACCCTGCTGAGTTCCCCGTGGGTTCTTACCCTTCCAACAGCCTGAAGACGGCGCAGCAGCCCTGGCTCAGCCCTCGCACTTTCAGAGCTTTGTCCAGACTCTCGTACACAGTCTGCCCCCGGCGCACGTTCACCTGCAGCGGACACACACTTTAGTCCAGGGTCCAGTCCCACCTCTGACCCCTGACCCCTCCACCTCTGACCTCTGACCCCTGACCTCTGGGTGCGAGGAGCCGTACTACCAGGGGCCAAAATGTGACGGTTAAATATTTCGGCCACAGGTCAATATTATTGTGATTCTGTGAAATTGTTGTTATTCAAAGGCGTTAGAAAGTTATTATGGTCTGTACAAGTTATAGAACAGTAGGAAAGAGGAGCACAATAACTGTAGTAATTCAAACAAACAAAATCTCTAACTCGAGCATCAATAACAAGTTTAAAATCTCTATCTTTAAAATCATAATAATAAAAAAGAGGTGTAAAAGTTTAACATTTGGCAAAACAAGAGGCAAGTATAAAGGGCTGTGTATTCTAGTGCAAGCAAAGTGTAGTTATATGTTAGCATAAAACCTTATCCTATCTTACGCAGACACGGGGAGAACAAGCAAACTCCACTCAGAAAGGCGTTCCCCATTAAGCTCTAATAAGAAGTTTATGGCAGAAATAAGAGGAAAGACAAAGCGCTACGTCCTCACCCTGTACTGGTACTCACCACGGTCCTCTGCTTGTTGGGGAGGTAGACTCTGATGGTGCCTCCTCCTCGGGGCACGTCCTCGGGGCTGGTCTCCCCAGAGGAGGAGTAACAGGAGGAGGTGGACGACATGGTGACCTCACACTCACAGAGAGACTTTAGAGGGAGGCTGCTGCAGAAGACACACTGATGAGGAGGAGGAGGAGGGGGGAGCAGCTGCCTCACACCTCCCTCACCCTGAACCTCCCTCACTCTGAACCTCTCTCGCTCTGAACCTCCCTCACTCTGAACCTCCCTCACTTTGAACCTCCCTCACTCTGAACCTCCCTCGCTCTGAACCTCCCTCACTTTGAACCTCCCTCACTCTGAACCTCCCTCGCTCTGAACCTCCCTCACTCTGAACCTCCCTCACTCTGAACCTCCCTCGCTCTGAACCTCCCTCACTCTGAACCTCTCTCGCTCTGAACCTCCCTCACTCTGAACCTCCCTCACTTTGAACCTCCCTCACTCTGAACCTCCCTCGCTCTGAACCTCCCTCACTCTGAACCTCCCTCACTTTGAACCTCCCTCACTCTGAACCTCTCTCGCTCTGAACCTCCCTCACCCTGAACCTCCCTCACTCTGAACCTCCCTCACCCTGAACCTCCCTCACTCTGAACCTCCCTCACCCTGAACCTCCCTCACTCTGAACCTCCCTCACTCTGAACCTCCCTCACCCTGAACCTCCCTCACTCTGAACCTCCCTCACTCTGAACCTCCCTCACTCTAAACCTCCCTCACTCTGAACCTCCCTCACTCTGAACCTCCCTCACCCTGAACCTCCCTCACCCTGAACCTCCCTCACTCTGAACCTCCCTCACCCTGAACCTCTCTCGCTCTGAACCTCCCTCACCCTGAACCTCCCTCACCCTGAACCTCCCTCACTCTGAACCTCCTTCACTCTGAACCTTCCTCACTCTAACCTCCCTCACTCTGAACCTCCCTCACTCTGAACCTCCCTCACCCTGAACCTCCCTCACCCTGAACCTCCCTCACTCTGAACCCCACCCTGAACCTCTCTCGCTCTGAACCTCCCTCACCCTGAACCTCCCTCACTCTGAACCTCCCTCACTCTGAACCTTCCTCACTCTAAACCTCCCTCACTCTGAACCTCCCTCACCCTGAACCTCCCTCAACCCGAACCTCCCTCATCCTGAGCCTCCCTCACTCTGAACCTCCCTCACTCTGAACCTCCCTCACCCTGAACCTCCCTCACTCTGAACCTCCCTCACTCTGAACCTCCCTCACTCTGAACCTCCCTCACTCTGAACCTCCCTCACTCTGAACCTCCCTCACCCTGAACCTCCCTCACCCTGAACCTCCCTCACCCACATGGAGGAGACCCACTGATGTCGTCATTTTATTTAGTGTTTTAGATTATTCATTTGGAACCCGCAATTTTCACATATAAAACAGACAAATAAGGATTGGTGTGTGTGTGTGTGTATGTGTGTGTGTGTATATATGTGTGTGTGTGTGTGTATATATGTGTGTGTGTGTGTGTGTATAAATGTGTGTGTGTGTGTATGTGTTTTAAGTAAGTAATATTTATTTATTTAGCACATGTTACAGACCAAGGCACAGACCCAAAGCTCTTTACACAGTTCAGAGTCAGATATCGTTCCATTCTCTCCACACGGTGATGAAGCGAGACCTGAACACACTGGACCATCAAACCCTCCGACCAAACACCCTCCATTCACATTCATACCTATTGTGCCTGTTTTTTGAGCTCAGAGACTACAGCTGTAACTGGCATCTCTTTATTCTATGTTTATTCTACACTGTCCTGTATAAATAACTAACATTACCACACCCCCGTATACTTATCCATCTGTACCTGACAGCGGCGTTTAACAATACATTTCTCACTATACACCAGGGACGTGCAGTCAGGGGAGGCAGGGGAGGCAGAGCCTCACCTGCCATTATTGGAAACTAATAATTATTTTAGTTTAAATATATAATTTATATCCACTGTCCTATGCTTTTAATGTATATTCGGCACGGTTCCCATCAGTTTTGATCATTTCTGAAGTCAAAATCGCCGAAATCCCGTTATTCCTATTCAAAGAGACGAGGTGAGGCAGGCGGTATCTGTGCCTCACCGCTAGGGGTGATAGTGAGCATAAAGTTCATACCAGAGTTGCTAACAAACAATCAGCCCAAAATGCTATTTCTTTTGCTGGAAAATGGATGATTTGAATGAAGATTTTTTTCTCAATTGGACTTTCAAACAAAGAAAGAATTAATATAGACTGGGAGACCACCACTGGACTTACGAGGTTAGTCCGGCTGCGGGGGAGGAGTTTGTTAATCTGTGTTTTATGTTGAACATTGACAGATACCGGCAAAGTAGTGCTTTTCCGAAAAACACTGATTCAAACACTGCTCAAGAGTTCTGCAACTTGTTTAAATTATTGTTTATGTTCCTCGCGTCTCTCTCTCCTCGCGTCTCTCTCTCCTCGCGTCTCCGTCTCTCTCTCCTCGCGTCTCCGTCTCTCTGCTCCTCTCTGTCTCTCTCTGCTCCTCTCTCCTCGCGTCTCTCTCTCCTCGCGTCTCCGTCTCTCTCTGCTCCTCGCGTCTCCGTCTCTCTGCTCCTCTCTGTCTCTCTCTGCTCCTCTCTCCTCGCGTCTCTCTGCTCCTCGCGTCTCCGTCTCTCTGCTCCTGTCTCTCTCTCTCTCTCTCTCCTCTCTCGTCTCTCTCTCTCGCGTCTCTCTCTCTCTCCGTCTCTCGTCTCTCTCTCCTCCTCTCGCTCTCCGTCTCTCTCTGCTCCTCTCTGTCTCTCTCTCTCCGCTCTCTCTCTCTCTCGCGTCTCTCTCTCCTCGCGTCTCTCGTCTCTCTCTGCTCCTCGCGTCTCCGTCTCTCTGCTCCTCTCTGTCTCTCTCTGCTCCTCTCTCCTCGCGTCTCTCTCTCCTCGCGTCTCCGTCTCTCTCTCCTCGCGTCTCCGTCTCTCTGCTCCTCTCTGTCTCTCTCTGCTCCTCTCTCCTCGCGTCTCTCTGTCCTCGCGTCTCCGTCTCTCTCTGCTCCTCGCGTCTCCGTCTCTCTGCTCCTCTCTGTCTCTCTCTGCTCCTCTCTCCTCGCGTCTCTCTCTCCTCGCGTCTCCGTCTCTCTCTGCTCCTCGCGTCTCCGTCTCTCTGCTCCTCTCTGTCTCTCTCTGCTCCTCTCTCCTCGCGTCTCTCTCTCCTCGCGTCTCCGTCTCTCTCTCCTCGCGTCTCCGTCTCTCTGCTCCTCTCTGTCTCTCTCTGCTCTCTCTCTCCTCCGCGTCTCTCTCTCCTCGCGTCTCCGTCTCTCTCTGCTCCTCGCGTCTCCGTCTCTCTGCTCCTCTCTGTCTCTCTCTGCTCCTCTCTCCTCGCGTCTCTCTGCTCCTCGCGTCTCCGTCTCTCTGCTCCTCTCTGTCTCTCTCTGCTCCTCTCTCCTCGCGTCTCTCTCTCTCTCGCGTCTCCGTCTCTCTCTGCTCCTCGCGTCTCCGTCTCTCTGCTCCTCTCTGTCTCTCTCTGCTCCTCTCTCCTCGCGTCTCTCTCTCCTCGCGTCTCCGTCTCTCTCTGCTCCTCGCGTCTCCGTCTCTCTGCTCCTCTCTGTCTCTCTCTGCTCCTCTCTCCTCGCGTCTCTCTCTCCTCGCGTCTCCGTCTCTCTCTGCTCCTCGCGTCTCCGTCTCTCTGCTCCTCTCTGTCTCTCTCTGCTCCTCTCTCCTCGCGTCTCTCTGCTCCTCGCGTCTCCGTCTCTCTGCTCCTCTCTGTCTCTCTCTGCTCTCTCTCTCCTCGCGTCTCTCTCTCCTCGCGTCTCCGTCTCTCTCTGCTCCTCGCGTCTCCGTCTCTCTGCTCCTCTCTGTCTCTCTCTGCTCCTCTCTCCTCGCGTCTCTCTCTCCTCGCGTCTCCGTCTCTCTCTCTCTCGCGTCTCCGTCTCTCTGCTCCTCTCTGTCTCTCTCTCCTCCTCTCTCCTCGCGTCTCTCTGTCCTCGCGTCTCCGTCTCTCTCTGCTCCTCGCGTCTCCGTCTCTCTGCTCCTCTCTGTCTCTCTCTGCTCCTCTCTCCTCGCGTCTCTCTCTCCTCGCGTCTCCGTCTCTCTCTGCTCCTCGCGTCTCCGTCTCTCTGCTCCTCTCTGTCTCTCTCTGCTCCTCTCTCCTCGCGTCTCTCTCTCCTCGCGTCTCCGTCTCTCTCTCCCTCGCGTCTCCGTCTCTCTGCTCCTCTCTGTCTCTCTCTGCTCCTCTCTCCTCGCGTCTCTCTCTCCTCGCGTCTCCGTCTCTCTCTGCTCCTCGCGTCTCCGTCTCTCTGCTCCTCTCTGTCTCTCTCTGCTCCTCTCTCCTCGCGTCTCTCTGCTCCTCGCGTCTCCGTCTCTCTGCTCCTCTCTGTCTCTCTCTGCTCCTCTCTCCTCGCGTCTCTCTCTCCTCGCGTCTCCGTCTCTCTCTCTCCTCGCGTCTCCGTCTCTCTGCTCCTCTCTGTCTCTCTCTGCTCCTCTCTCCTCGCGTCTCTCTGTCCTCGCGTCTCCGTCTCTCTCTGCTCCTCGCGTCTCCGTCTCTCTCTCCTCCTCTCTGTCTCTCTCTGCTCCTCTCTCCTCGCGTCTCTCTCTCCTCGCGTCTCCGTCTCTCTCTGCTCCTCGCGTCTCCGTCTCTCTGCTCCTCTCTGTCTCTCTCTGCTCCTCTCTCCTCGCGTCTCTCTCTCCTCGCGTCTCCGTCTCTCTCTCCTCGCGTCTCCGTCTCTCTGCTCCTCTCTGTCTCTCTCTGCTCCTCTCTCCTCGCTCTCTCTCTCTCGCGTCTCCGTCTCTCTCTGCTCCTCGCGTCTCCGTCTCTCTGCTCCTCTCTGTCTCTCTCTGCTCCTCTCTCCTCGCGTCTCTCTGCTCCTCGCGTCTCCGTCTCTCTGCTCCTCTCTGTCTCTCTCTGCTCCTCTCTCCTCGCGTCTCTCTCTCCTCGCGTCTCCGTCTCTCTCTGCTCCTCGCGTCTCCGTCTCTCTGCTCCTCTCTGTCTCTCTCTGCTCCTCTCTCCTCGCGTCTCTCTCTCCTCGCGTCTCCGTCTCTCTCTGCTCCTCGCGTCTCCGTCTCTCTGCTCCTCTCTGTCTCTCTCTGCTCCTCTCTCCTCGCGTCTCTCTCTCCTCGCGTCTCCGTCTCTCTCTGCTCCTCGCGTCTCCGTCTCTCTGCTCCTCTCTCCTCGCGTCTCTCTGCTCCTCTCTCCTCGCGTCTCTCTGCTCCTCGCGTCTCCGTCTCTCTCTGCTCCTCGCGTCTCCGTCTCTCTGCTCCTCTCTGTCTCTCTCTGCTCCTCTCTCCTCGCGTCTCTCTGCTCCTCGCGTCTCCGTCTCTCTGCTCCTCTCTGTCTCTCTCTGCTCCTCTCTCCTCGCGTCTCTCTCTCCTCGCGTCTCCGTCTCTCTCTGCTCCTCGCGTCTCCGTCTCTCTGCTCCTCTCTGTCTCTCTCTGCTCCTCTCTCCTCGCGTCTCTCTCTCCTCGCGTCTCCGTCTCTCTCTGCTCCTCGCGTCTCCGTCTCTCTGCTCCTCTCTGTCTCTCTCTGCTCCTCTCTCCTCGCGTCTCTCTCTCCTCGCGTCTCCGTCTCTCTCTGCTCCTCGCGTCTCCGTCTCTCTGCTCCTCTCTGTCTCTCTCTGCTCCTCTCTCCTCGCGTCTCTCTCTCCTCGCGTCTCTCGCACCTGCGCTTCTTAAAGATGTTGTTTGATGCGGAGCAGAGTCAGCAGCTAGATTTGTTGTGAGATTATTAAAAGAAGCTGGTTCTCTTATCTTTACAGTATATAAAGTTTGTGGATGTCATTGCATTGGTGATTAAATGCTATTTTATTTGAATAATGATTGTAAATCTGACTTTTAAAGTCAGTGCCTCCCCAATCACAAACCTCACCGCACGTCCCTGCTATACACTACAGTACATAATAAAGCTCAGATCAAGCACAGCATAACTCAAAATTATCATTATCATTTCTTTATTCAGACTCTGGTCCACATTAGAACAAGAGACACAGACACACACCATAAGACAGACTTGTGGATATGTTGTTATTGATTGACAGGGCATCAGGTCTAGTCTAACATGTATGGACTTCAAAGCACCGACACCAACACTGCCCTGACCCTTTCACTCACACAAACATGAACTACTCCCTGTCAAAGCGTTGGTTTAGGTAAAGAAACCTCAGGTGACAGCTGTCTTCAGTCTCTGCACTGACCTCTCCACTGTTTTAGAGAACCAAAACCTGCAGGACTCTTTATGTGTCACGTCAGATCTCCATGAAACCTGTTGTTTACTCCTCCGCAGCAGCAGCACGCATGACACAGATTATGTAGCCAGCGTTAGCCCACAATGTTTGACTCTTGGCATTTGGACCGGGGCGGGATTTCCCCATTCAAAGCAAATGGGAATTATAATAACAAACAAATCTACACTACGGTTATAACAGCCTATTGTTATTCTATTTATTCTATTTATTCTATTTATTATTTAATTTAATTATTATTATATTAGTATTATTATATTAGTATTATTATATGTATTATTATTAATATTTATTACATGTATTATTATGTATTATATTTATTATTATTTATATTTATTATTCTATTTATATTTATTGTTATTATTGTTATTATGATGGAAGAAAAGACTGGTTTACCATGACAAAACCTTAATCATGTAATAACACCTTATTACTACTAATACAGTGATATGGTGTAATTATGTATTATTTGTATTTATTATGTTATATGGGGGTAATCTGTACTAATCTGATAGTACACTATACATTCAAGCACAGTAGTAATTTAGTAATCAAAGTCAAAAGCACTTGTGTCTAAAACCTGACCATAACACTCCAAAAAAGTAGTATTTAACTCAAGAACCAACGCTATTTACTCAATTCTAAAACTTTACCAATAACCGAATGCGTCATTAACCCGCTCTGACACAAAACAGACATTTTGCACAGTAATAATATTAGTATTTTGCATCATGTTCTTGAAGCAGAATATCCGGGCTCGAAATGCCTGGATTACAAGAGTCCGCGTCTGCGCTAACAGTTAGCATTAGCATTAGCATTAGCATTAGCACTGCGGGGTTTAGCAGCGCTTCTTCAGCCGCCAAAGACACTTTACAACAACGATCTACACCGTCCTTTTGTGGATTGTATGAGAGCGTAAACACGGGTCAGCTTTAACCTCCAAGTCCGCAGCTGTCGTCCCGTGTGAACAGGATTTGGTCTCTTTACAAACTCTTACCTGAGTCCGCCATCTTGAACTCTCTGCTCTGAAGTGAGACGACAGTGGGGGCGTCCCAAACAGCCTCGTCTGACCCTCGCCTCCTTTCCTCAGGGAGTTTCCAAATTCGATTCCTCCTTCCTCAGCCTGTTGATTGCGTACACTTGTCCCGATATAAAACAAACGAAATACACATTGAAGCATAAAACATAAATATTGATTAAACAGTGCTCTGTGAGGAATATGTGACGGAGCCTCTGCAGAGTCTGTATTTGTTTTTGTCTGTCCCTACATGTCTTTCTGATGTTTATGGACCGCTTTTTATTCTGAATACAGTCTAATAACAATAAAATAATACATCCATGAGTGTGACTTGTTCCAAGATCTTTGTATAACCTTAAACCCCGTTTCCACCAGCCCTAATCTACTCTACTCTACTCTACTTTACTTTACTTTACAATACTCTACTCTACTCTACTCTACTCTGCTCTGCTCTTCTCTGCTCTACTCTACTCTACTCTACTCTACTCTACTCTACTCTACTTTACTTTACTTTACAATACTCTACTCTACTCTACTCTGCTCTGCTCTGCTCTGCTCTACTCTACTCTACTCTACTCTACTCTACTCTACTTTACTTTACAATACTCTACTACTCTACTCTGCTCTGCTCTGCTCTGCTCTACTCTACTCTACTCTACTCTACTCTACTCTACTCTACTTTACTTTACAATACTCTACTCTACTCTACTCTGCTCTGCTCTGCTCTGCTCTACTCTACTCTACTCTACTCTACTCTACTCTACTTTACAATACTCTACTCTGCTCTACTCTGCTCTGCTCTACTCTACTCTACTCTACTCTACTCTACTTTACTTTACAATACTCTACTCTACTCTACTCTACTCTGCTCTGCTCTGCTCTGCTCTACTCTACTCTACTCTACTCTACTCTACTTTACTTTACAATACTCTACTCTACTCTGCTCTGCTCTGCTCTACTCTACTCTACTCTACTCTACTCTACTTTACTTTACAATACTCTACTCTACTCTGCTCTGCTCTGCTCTGCTCTACTCTACTCTACTCTACTCTACTCTACTTTACTTTACAATACTCTACTCTACTCTACTCTACTCTGCTCTGCTCTGCTCTACTCTACTCTACTCTACTCTACTCTACTTTACTTTACAATACTCTACTCTACTCTACTCTGCTCTGCTCTACTCTACTCTACTCTACTCTACTCTACTCTACTCTACTCTACTATACTTTACAATACTCTACTCTGCTCTACTCTGCTCTGCTCTGCTCTGCTCTACTCTACTCTACTTTACAATACTCTACTCTACTCTACTCTACTCTACTCTACTCTGCTCTGCTCTGCTCTGCTCTACTCTACTCTACTCTACTCTACTCTACTCTACTCTACTCTACTTTACTTTACAATACTCTACTCTACTCTACTCTGCTCTGCTCTGCTCTGCTCTACTCTACTCTACTCTACTCTACTCTACTCTACTCTACTCTGCTCCAACTGATGTGATTGGTCAGAGTGCTGCTGGATGTCATGGTTACCAAGGAATTTTACTGGTAATATATCACCTATAGTACCCTACCATAGGTGTATTATATTACATGTAGTACCATGTGTGTATCATATAACCTGTAGTACCATGGGTGTATAAAAGTACCTGTAGTACCATGGGTGTATAAAAGTACCTGTAGTACCATGGGTGTATAAAAGTACCTGTAGTACCATGGGTGTATAAAAGTACCTGTAGTACCATGGGTGTATTAAAGTACCTGTAGTAGCAGCAGTTGGCCTGAGGGGGGCAGCCTCCTCCCGCTCTGACGCGCTTGTTTTCATAGCTGCTTCTCATTTGGATCCGCGCGCATTTAGACACGTTGTGGAGACATGTGGGTGAGAGAGAGAGAAACCAGAGAGAAAGAAAGAGAGACCAGAGAGAAACCAGAGAGAGAGAGAGAGAGAGAGGTACCAGAGAGAAACCAGAGAGAGAGAGACCAAAGAGAGACCAGAGAGTGAGGCCAGAGAGAAACCAGAGAGAGAGAGAGAGCAGATAGAAACCAGAGACAGAGAAACCAGAAAGAGAGAAACCAGAGAGAGACCAGAGAGAAATCAGAGAGAGAGAGACCAGAGAAAGACCAGAGAGTGAGACCAGAGAGAAACCAGAGAGAGAGACCAGAGAGAGAGAGACCAGAGAAAGACCAGAGACAGAGAAACCAGAAAGAGAGAAACCAGAGAGAGACCAGAGAAAGACCAGAGAGTGAGACCAGAGAGAAACCAGAGAGAGAGAGAGACCAGAGAGAGGCCAGAGAGAGAGAGAGAGAGAGACCAGATAGAAACCAGAGAAAGAGAGGAACCAGCGAGAGAGAGACCAAGAAGGGACCAGAGAGAGAAACCAGAGAACGAGAGACAGAGAAACCAGAGAAAGAGAGACAGAGAAACCAGAGAAAGAGACTAGGGATAGACCAGAGAGAGAGAGGGAGAGAGAGGGAGAGAGACCCAAGTGAGGCCAGACAGAGAGACCCGAGAGAGAGACCAGAGAGAGTTGTTGTTGGACTCAATCACGTTCTCGCTTTTCTCACGTGCACGCGCACACATTAAGAAGCCACTAGAGGCCATTAATCATTATGTCCTAAGCCACGCCCCCTCCCGCTCCCATTGGTCCGGGCACGTCTCACGTCCGCTCCGTCTCTCTCCTGTCACGTAAATAGCTCCGTGCGCTTGGACGTACAGTGTCTCTGGCTGTCACGGGCGCACGCAGACGCACACGCACACGTACAGAGACCTCTCCAAACATGTGCGTAATGCCTCACGGCTGTCCCCCAGAACTGCCTGCGCCACCTCCGACTCGGGTCTAAACAACATTTTAGGGACTTTTTCTTCACCTCGCGTCCTGCCCCCAGTTATTGCTTCATCTTTGGCACGGCATGGCAAGTTTGAGCGCGGTCTGGAGACTGTGAAGGTCCAAAAGAACCAGAGAAGGTAAAACAAAAACCTTGGATCTGTCATTACGCACAGCTTTTGGAGTTTGTGGACTCGCCCTATTTCATCACAGCGCGTTATGTAGTGACTGTTTAACTCAGTGTGTGTGTGTGTGTGTGTGTGTGTGCGTGTGTGTGTGTGTGTGTGTGTGCGTGTGTACGTGTGTGCGTGTGTTTAGGGTCTCTCTGGTCTCTTTCTAGTCTATCTCTGTTCTCTCTGTTCTCTCTCTGGTCTCCCTCTGGTCTCTTTCTAGTCTCTCTCTGGTCTCTCTCTGGTCTCTTTAGTCTATCTCTGGTCTCTCTCTGGTCTCTTTCTAGTCTCTCTCTGGTCTCTCTCTGGTCTCTCTCTGGTCTCTCTCTGGTCTCCCTCTGGTCTCTTTCTAGTCTCTCTCTGGTCTCTCTCTGGTCTCTTTAGTCTATCTCTGGTCTCTTTAGTCTATCTCTGGTCTCTTTCTAGTCTCTCTCTGGTCTCTCTCTGGTCTCTCTCTGGTCTCTCTCTGGTCTCTCTCTGGTCTCCCTTTCTAGTCTCTCTCTGGTCTCTCTCTAACTCTTTCTGGTCCCTCTCTAGTCTCTTTCTGGTCGCGTCTGTACCATATGTTCAGTAGTTACACAGTTGTTATTCCGAGCTGTAGTCGACCAAACGTGAAGGTGGCGCGGACTACTCTCCAAACTATGACGTATCTGAGCTAAACTGTTCTAATCCGAGTTCCAAAACCACTCTTTCTAAAGTGAAGACTATAACAACACCTCATCATGAATCAAAGCACACACCGACGTCCGCAGCTCATTTGCGTCATTCCTTCTCCTGTTTGGAGTGTTCTCATTGAAAGCCGTGTAATAAGAACCTAAAACATTTACACACACAGTTGCCTCGGTCCGTGCGTCCAGGTGCCGTTCCGTTCCGTACAAAGCTACTCTTTCAGAGAGTATAAATAGCTCCGAGACGTCGCCAAAGATAATATTGTTGCATCTGATTTACATGTGCGCACTTTAAACCGGCTCTGCACACCGCGGCTTCAGAGAGGGAAGTGCTCAGGCCCAGAGGGGAATGGGACAGGTTTGGGGGCTCGTGAACTGACGCAGGGCCGTACGTAGGATTTATGTCCCACTGTAAGTTTAATTTACAAAGTCTTTTATCCAAATATTTACCAGTGATCGGATAAACTGTAGGCTGTAGACCCAGGACTGAGGCTGTAGACCCAGGACTGAGGCTGTAGACCCAGGACTGAGGCTGTAGACCCAGGACTGAGGCTGTAGACCCAGGACTGAGGCTGTAGACCCAGGACTGAGGCTGTAGACCCAGGACTGAGGCTGTAGACCCAGGACTGAGGCTGTAGACCCAGGACTGAGGCTGTAGACCCAGGACTGAGGCTGTAGACCCAGGACTGAGGCTGTAGACCCAGGACTGAGGCTGTAGACCCAGGACTGAGGCTGTTTAAGTCAGAAGCAAAGTCAAAGACATATATATATATACAATAACATATATACAGTAACATATATAAAATAACACGTATATAATGAGCTGTCTGTGCTGCTTCCTCAGTTGAGTTCCAGTGTGTGACATCACAGAGGAGTTGGAATGTTGACGAAGGGGAAGTGCAGCGGAGGCTTCGTCACAGAGAAAGAATGCTAAATGTTATCTCTACATTCACCAAACCGTTAAAGCTAACCGTCTGCTTGTTGTGACTCTATGATGTCTGCTGTGACTCTATGATGTCTGTGACTCTATGATGTCTGCTGTGACTCTATGATGTCTGTGACTCTATGATGTCTGTGACTCTATGTCTGTGACTCTATGATGTCTGTTGTGACTCTATGATGTCTGTGACTCTATGTCTGTGACTCTATGATGTCTGTGACTCTATGATGTCTGCTGTGACTCTATGATGTCTGTGACTCTATGATGTCTGCTGTGACTCTGATGTCTGTGACTCTGATGTCTGTGACTCTATGTCTGTGACTCTATGATGTCTGTGACTCTATGATGTCTGTTGTGACTCTATGATGTCTGTGACTCTATGATGTCTGTGACTCTATGATGTCTGTTGTGACTCTATGATGTCTGTGACTCTATGATGTCTGTGACTCTATGATGTCTGTGACTCTATGATGTCTGCTGTGACTCTATGATGTCTGTGACTCTATGATGTCTGTGACTCTATGATGTCTGTTGTGACTCTATGATGTCTGTGACTCTATGATGTCTGTGACCCTATGATGTCTGCTGTGACTCTATGATGTCTGTTGTGACTCTATGATGTCTGTGACTCTATGATGTTTGCTGTGACTCTATGATGTCTGTTGTGACTCTATGATGTCTGTGACTCTATGATGTCTGTTGTGACTCTATGATGTCTGTTGTGACTCTATGATGTCTGTGACTCTATGATGTCTGTGACTCTATGTCTGCTGTGACTCTATGATGTCTGTGACTCTATGATGTCTGTGACTCTATGATGTCTGTTGTGACTCTATGATGTCTGCTGTGACTCTATGATGTCTGTGACTCTATGATGTCTGTGACTCTATGATGTCTGTTTTGACTCTATGATGTCTGTTGTGACTCTATGATGTCTGTGACTCTATGATGTCTGTGACTCTATGATGTCACAACATTAAACCTGAGGCTTATGTTTAAGTTTGGTTTAAGTTCCTCGAGATGAAGACTGCCCTGGTCTTACCATGTGTAAACTCTGGTCCATGATCATCTCCTACATGTACGTCTGGTCTTACCATGTGTAAACTCTGGTCCATGATCATTTCCTACATGTACGTCTGGTCTTACCATGTGTAAACTCTGGTCCATGATCATCTCCTACATGTACGTCTGGTCTTACCATGTGTAAACTCTGGTCCATGATCATTTCCTACATGTACGTCTGGTCTTACCATGTGTAAACTCTGGTCCATGATCATTTCCTACATGTACGTCTGGTCTTACCATGTGTAAACTCTGGTCCATGGTCATTTCCTACATGTACGTCTGGGTCTGATCCTAGTGGCTGCAGTTTCCTCGGTTGAATCCCCTCCGACCAATCAGAGAGCGGGGGAGGCGGGTGTTGTAGGTCGGTGTCGGTGACGTCAGAGTTTGTGCTGAATTTGCTGGTCCTACTCATGGATCTATAATAATATCTGGATAGAGTATTACTATCTTACAGCTGTCCCACCCACGGCCACAGGGGGCGCTGTGGTACTGCAAACTAAATTCACGAGGGCTACCCAGAAAAAAAGTCCCATAGAACTCAATGTATATTAAAACAGCACGACCTCAGCTGACAGAGAACCTGACAGAGAACCTACAGCTTTCATAAAGGTCAGATTTTGTGTGGATGTTAGTGTCCCTTGTCGTCCTGAACTTTCTTTCTTCTTAAATCCTTCGGTTTTCTTTAAATCCACACTTTACTGCCACAGACGCTGCTCCCTGCCTTTCTGCTCTGACTCCGCCCTGCTGCTGCTCTGATGATCAGCTCTGATTGGTCAGAGCGCGGCCGAGCCCCTCTGTGCATGAAAGCCACACACGCACGTTTGGCGCAAAGCATGATGGGAGATATCTCTCATCATGCGTTGCAATAATCCACTGCACAGAACCGGGAGGACCAGACGATGCCCAAATGAAGTCCCATGCGCTACTGAGCACAAGCCATTCATTTGAATAGGACGCCATCTTGGATCACCGGGGCTTGGTTGTAGTTTGTCGGAGAATGCGATAGTAAAATAATCTGTTCTGGTTCAATCCAAATATCAAGAAACTGAAGCCGGAGCAAGAGGAATGCTTAGTAAATGTCATTGAAGCAGAGATGTTGTGGCTCTACTCCCCACGGGCTCCGTTAGCGGGAAAGGAGATGGCTAATGCTAGGCTAATGCTAAAGCTAGGCTAAATGCTAAAGCTAGGCTAAATGCTAAATGCCTCACTCACTCAGGCTCATTACATACGTCACGGTAAACTCAGATCCAATCGTTTCAATCTGCAAAAGGAGCCCCTCCCACCTGTTAACGGAGACAATGGAGACAATCCAGACCTTAGTACAGAATGAAAAGAGTACAATGGTGCGGTAAGACCAGGTGGCTGAGTGGTTAGCACTCCAGCCTCTCAGCAAGTAGATCCTGGGTTAGAATCCCGGTAAGAACAGGGCCTTTTTGAGTGGAGTTTGCATGTTCTCCCCGTGCTTGCGTAGGGTTTCCTCCGAGTACTCCGGTTTCCCCCACCACTAAAAAAATGCTCACCAGGTTAAATCCTCCAGCTCTGGTCCTGACCAAGCCGAGCATCAACATCTGGAGATGCCGGGCGCTGTTACTACGGCGACCACTGTTCCTGACGTGAGCCTTAGGGCATCAGGGTCAAATGCAGAGGATTGAATTGCCCTACGGGATAAATAAAGTGCACCTTTACCTTTAACAATGGTGTGGAAGAGACCAGGCTAAGTCCAGGCTAAGTCCAGGCTAAGTCCAGGCTAAGTCCAGGCTAAGTCCAGGCTAAGTCCAGGCTAAGTCCAGGCTAAGTCCAGGCTAAGTCCGGGCTAAGTCCGGGCTAAGTCCGGGCTAAGTCCGGGCTAAGTCCGGGCTAAGTCCGGGCTAAGTCCGGGGTAAGTCCGGGCTAAGTCCGGGCTAAGTCCGGGCTAAGTCCGGGCTAAGTCCGGGCTAAGTCCGGGCTAAGTCCGGGCTAAGTCCGGGCTAAGTCCATGACTTTCTCATGTGAAGAAGAAGGTTGGTGTGTAGTAGAACAAATGTTGTGTGTTGATGGTGTAGTTGTGTGTTGATGGTGTGGTTGTCTTGTTGTGTGTTCATTGTGTAGTTGATGGTGTGTGTTGTGTTTTCAGGATGGTGAACAGCCAGGCGTCGGCGCTGCCCTCGGCCCAGCGCTCCTGTGCAGGATGTGGAGGACAGATCTGTGATCGCTTCCTGCTCTTCTCTATGGAGCGGTACTGGCACAACCGCTGCCTCAAGTGCTCCTGCTGCCACGCCCACCTGGGGGAGATCGGCTCCTCCTGCTACAGCAAGGGAGGCATGATCCTCTGCAGGAGCGACTACATCAGGTGAGGGGGAGAGGGGAGAGAGGGGAGAGAGGGAGGCATGATCCTCTGCAGGAGCGACTACATCAGGTGAGGGGGAGAGGGGAGAGAGAGGGGAGAGAGGGGAGAGAGGGAGGCATGATCCTCTGCAGGTGCGACTACATCAGGTGGGGGAGAGGGGGGAGAGAGGGGAGAGAGGGAGGCATGATCCTCTGCAGGAGCGACTACATCAGGTGAGGGGGAGAGGGGAGAGAGAGGAGAGAGGAGAGAGAGAGGAGAGAGAGGAGAGAGAGGGGAGAGAGAGGGGAGAGAGGGGAGAGAGAGGAGAGAGAGGGGAGAGAGAGGAGAGAGAGGAGAGAGAGAGAGGGGAGAGAGGGGAGAGAGAGAGAGAGAGAGGAGAGAGAGGGGGAGAGAGAGGGGAGAGAGAGGGGAGAGAGGAGAGAGAGGGGAGAGAGAGGAGAGAGAGGAGAGAGAGAGAGGGGAGAGAGAGGGAGGAATGATCCTCTGCAGGAGCGACTACATCAGGTGAGGGGGAGAGGGGAGAGAGAGAGAGAGAGAGGGGAGAGAGAGAGAGAGAGAGAGAGAGAGAGAGAGGGGAGAGAGGGGAGAGAGAGGAGAGAGAGGAGAGAGAGGGGAGAGAGGGGAGAGAGAGGGGAGAGAGGAGAGAGAGGGGAGAGAGAGGAGAGAGAGGAGAGAGAGGGGAGAGAGGGGAGAGAGAGGGGAGAGAGGGGAGAGAGAGGAGAGAGAGGGGAGAGAGGGGAGAGAGAGAGGAGAGAGAGGAGAGAGAGGAGAGAGGAGAGGGAGTTGTTGTTTACAGGTTGTGACAGTTGTTGTTGTTTACAGGTTAAGTAAGTTAGTAATGTTTAGACCTTTCTCAGACCAGAGTCAAAGCAGTTTACAGCTGTTACATTAGTCTCTGACACAGAGGTGGGCGGGGCCAGTACAGCTGTTACATTAGTCTCTGACACAGAGAGGGGAGGGGCCAGTACAGCTGTTACATTAGTCTCTGACACAGAGGTGGGCGGGGCCAGTACAGCTGTTACATTAGTCTCTGACACAGCGATGGGCGGGGCCAGTACAGCTGTTACATTAGTCTCTGACACAGAGATGGGCGGGGCCAGTACAGCTGTTACATTAGTCTCTGACACAGAGAGGGGAGGGGCCAGTACAGCTGTTACATTAGTCTCTGACACAGCGATGGGCGGGGCCAGTACAGCTGTTACATTAGTCTCTGACACAGAGAGGGGAGGGGCCAGTACAGCTGTTACATTAGTCTCTGACACAGCGATGGGCGGGGCCAGTACAGCTGTTACATTAGTCTCTGACACAGAGAGGGGCGGGGCCAGTACAGCTGTTACATTAGTCTCTGACACAGAGGTGGGCGGGGCCAGTACAGCTGTTACATTAGTCTCTGACACAGAGAGGGGAGGGGCCAGTACAGCTGTTACATTAGTCTCTGACACAGCGATGGGCGGGGCCAGTACAGCTGTTACATTAGTCTCTGACACAGAGAGGGGCGGGGCCAGTACAGCTGTTACATTAGTCTCTGACACAGAGGTGGGCGGGGCCAGTACAGCTGTTACATTAGTCTCTGACACAGAGAGGGGAGGGGCCAGTACAGCTGTTACATTAGTCTCTGACACAGAGATGAGCGGGGCCAGTACAGCTGTTACATTAGTCTCTGACACAGAGAGGGGAGGGGCCAGTACAGCTGTTACATTAGTCTCTGACACGGAGGTGGGCGGGGCCAGTACAGCTGTTACATTAGTCTCTGACACAGCGATGAGCGGGGCCAGTACAGCTGTTACATTAGTCTCTGACACAGAGATGAGCGGGGCCAGTACAGCTGTTACATTAGTCTCTGACACAGAGAGGGGAGGGGCCAGTACAGCTGTTACATTAGTCTCTGACACGGAGGTGGGCGGGGCCAGTACAGCTGTTACATTAGTCTCTGACACAGCGATGAGCGGGGCCAGTACAGCTGTTACATTAGTCTCTGACACAGAGATGAGCGGGGCCAGTACAGCTGTTACATTAGTCTCTGACACAGAGAGGGGAGGGGCCAGTACAGCTGTTACATTAGTCTCTGACACAGAGAGGGGCGGGGCCAGTACAGCTGTTACATTAGTCTCTGACACAGAGAGGGGAGGGGCCAGTACAGCTGTTACATTAGTCTCTGACACAGAGAGGGGAGGGGCCAGTACAGCTGTTACATTAGTCTCTGACACAGAGAGGGGCGGGGCCAGTACAGCTGTTACATTAGTCTCTGACACAGAGAGGGGCGGGGCCAGTACAGCTGTTACATTAGTCTCTGACACAGAGATGGGCGGGGCCAGCACAGGAGGCACAGACCTACTGTACATGTTTATAGTGGAGGGCAAACCGGAGTACCTGGAGGAAACCTACACAGACACGGGGAGAACATGCAAACTCCACTCAGAAAGACCCTGTTCTGACCGGGATTCGAACCCAGGACCTTCTTGCTGAGAGGCGAGAGTGCTAACCACTCAGCCACCGTGCCAACTATATAGATAGTTCTATAACCAGGGGTGCACATAACGTTTTCAGTGAGGTTCTCAGATGAGCACCAGCAGATGGTGTTTGGTTCTCACTCCATTTGTCGCGTGGTTCTTAATCGAGATTTTATACTTGCTTCTTTTTAATGCTAAAGTTTAGATACGCTCAGATAATCCACTCTATCCAAGTCAAATAATGACTCACAGGGCTCTTTCCTGTAAATTCTAAACAAAACCAAAAATCAAACAATGTTCCGTTTGATAAAAGAGGCTCGGAGCCCAGTGCTCAGGTGGGTTTATGTTCTATACTCCCAGAGTGCAAATGGTGAAGGCAGAGCAGGAAGTATTTACAACAAAATTAGCAACAAAAAATCAAGTTCAACTCAAAGTTCACACGGACTCATAGGTCACCTTTAAGTTTCAGGTGACGACCTCTGTAACCACGGCCCCTGGCCCCTCCCACTGAGCCAGAGGAGCACGACTGTGTGACTGTGTGTGTGTAAATGTGTGTGTAAATGTGTGTGTAAATGTGTGTGTAACTGTGTGTGTAACTGTGTGTGTAAATGTGTGTGTAAATGTGTGTGTGTAAATGTGTGTGTAAATGTGTGTGTGTAAATGTGTGTGTAAATGTGTGTGTAACTGTGTGTGTAAATGTGTGTGTAACTGTGTGTGTAACTGTGTGTGTGTAACTGTGTGTGTGTAAATGTGTGTGTAAATGTGTGTGTAACTGTGTGTAAATGTGTGTGTAACTGTGTGTGTAAATGTTTGCTTGAATGTATTTCTGACCCGCACAAGTGTGCACCTTTGGCAAACTAGTAACTAGGGTAGTGTGTGCGTGACGGTGTGTGTGTGCGTGACGGTGTGTGTGTGCGTGACGGTGTGTGTGTGCGTGACGGTGTGTGTGTGCGTGACGGTGTGTGTGTGCGTGACGGTGTGTGTGTGTGTGCGTGACAGTGTGTGTGTGTGTGTGTGCGTGACGGTGTGTGTGTGTGTGCGTGACGGTGTGTGTGTATGTGCGTGATGGTGTGTGTGTGTGCGTGCCGGTGTGTGTGTGCGTGATGGTGTGTGTGTGCGTGCCGGTGATGGTGTGTGTGTGCGTGCGTGATGGTGTTGGTGTGTGTGTGCGTGACGGTGTGTGTGTGACGGTGTGTGTGTGTGTGTGTGCGTGACGGTGTGTGTGTGCATGACAGTGTGTGTGTGTGTGCGTGACGGTGTGTGTGTGCGTGACAGTGTGTGTGTGTGTGCGTGACGGTGTGTGTGTATGTGCGTGATGGTGTGTGTGTGCGTGCCGGTGTGTGTGTGCGTGATGGTGTGTGTGTGTGTGTGTGCGTGACGGTGTGTGTGTGCGTGCGTGATGGTGTGTGTGTGCGTGTGCCGGTGTGTGTGTGTGTGATGGTGATGGTGTGTGTGTGTGTGTGTGTGTGTGCGTGACGGTGTGTGTGTGTGTGTGTGTCGTGACGGTGTGTGTGTGCGTGACGGTGTGTGTGTGCGTGACAGTGTGTGTGTGACGGTGTGTGTGTGCATGACAGTGTGTGTGTGTGCGTGACGGTGTGTGTGTGTGTGTGTGCGTGACGGTGTGTGTGTGCGTGCCGGTGTGTGTGTGTGTGTGTGTGTGTTGCGTGATGGTGTGTGTTTGCGTGACAGTGTGTGTGCGTGACGGTGTGTGTGTATGTGCGTGATGGTGTGTGTGTGCGTGCCGGTGTGTGTGTGTGTGTGATGGTGATGGTGTGTGTGTGTGTGTGTGTGCGTGACGGTGTGTGTGTGTATGTGTGCGTGACAGTGTGTGTGTGTGTGCGTGACGGTGTGTGTGCGTGACAGTGTGTGTGTGTGTGCGTGACGGTGTGTGTGTGTGTGTGTGCGTGACGGTGTGTGTGTGCGTGCCGGTGTGTGTGTGTGTGTGTGCGTGACGGTGTGTGTGTGTGCGTGACAGTGTGTGTGTGTGTGCGTGACGGTGTGTGTGTATGTGCGTGATGGTGTGTGTGTGCGTGACGGTGTGTGTGTGTGTGATTGTGTGTGTGTGTGTGTGTGTGCGTGAAGGTGTGTGTGTGTGTGTGTGTGCGTGACGGTGTGTGTGTGCGTGACGGTGTGTGTGTGCGTGACAGTGTGTTTGTGTGTGCGTGACGGTGTGTGTGTGTGCGTGACGGTGTGTGTGTGTGTGTGTGTGTGCGTGACGGTGTGTGTGTGCGTGACGGTGTGTGTGTGCGTGACAGTGTGTTTGTGTGTGCGTGACGGTGTGTGTGTGTGTGACGGTGTGTGTGTGCGTGCGTGATGGTGTGTGTGTGCGTGACGGTGTGTGTGTGAGCGTGATGGTGTGTGTGTGTGTGACGGTGTGTGTGTGTGCGTGATGGTGTGGTGTGTGTGTGCGTGACGGTGTGTGTGTGTGACGGTGTGTGTGTGCGTGCGTGATGGTGTGTGTTTGCGTGACAGTGTGTGTGTGAGCGTGATGGTGTGTGTGTGTGTGACGGTGTGTGTGTGTGCGTGATGGTGATGGTGTGTGTGTGCGTGACGGTGTGTGTGTGTGACGGTGTGTGTGTGCGTGATGGTGATGGTGTGTGTGACGGTGTGTGTGTGCGTGCGTCATGAAAGTCAGCCTTCAGTATAAAACTACATTTGCCTGGTCTGGACTGGTCTGGACTGGTCTGGACTGGTCTGGACTGGTCTGGACTGGTCTGGTCTGGACTGGTCTGGTCTGGACTGGTCTGGTCTGGTCTGGTCTGGTCTGGTCTGGTCTGGTCTGGACTGGTCTGGTCTGGTCTGGTCTGGACTGGTCTGGTCTGGTCTGGTCTGGTCTGGACTGGTCTGGACTGGTCTGGTCTGGACTGGTCTGGTCTGGTCTGGTCTGGTCTGGTCTGGACTGGTCTGGTCTGGTCTGGTCTGGTCTGGTCTGGTCTGGACTGGTCTGGACTGGTCTGGTCTGGACTGGTCTGGTCTGGTCTGGACTGGTCTGGACTGGTCTGGTCTGGTCTGGTCTGGTCTGGACTGGTCTGGACTGGTCTGGTCTGGTCTGGACTGGTCTGGACTGGTCTGGTCTGGTCTGGACTGGTCTGGACTGGTCTGGTCTGGTCTGGTCTGGTCTGAAGCAAAAGCACTTTCTAACTCAGTGACAGTAGCATTTGTGATATTTGTCCCTCATGCGTAGCTGCGTACCAGTTATGTGCTGGTACCAGTTATGTGCTGGTACCAGTTATGTGCAGCGTACCAGTTATGTGCAGCGTACCAGTTATGTGCAGCGTACCAGTTATGTGCTGGTACCAGTTATGTGCAGCGTACCAGTTATGTGCAGCGTACCAGTTATGTGCTGGTACCAGTTATGTGCAGCGTACCAGTTATGTGCAGCGTACCAGTTATGTGCTGGTACCAGTTATGTGCAGCGTACCAGTTATGTGCTGGTACCAGTTATGTGCAGCGTACCAGTTATGTGCAGCGTACCAGTTATGTGCTGCGTACCAGTTATGTGCTGGTACCAGTTATGTGCAGCCCTGGTCATAGGGGTTGTTTACTGGTTGTTATAGTCGTTGTTGTTGTTGTTGTTTACAGTCAAGTCAATGTAAGTTTCACAGTTTGTCTGGGAACAAAACGCAGATCAGCACCGAACCAAACACATGGTGCTGGACCATAAGGAGCAGAGACCAGTGACCATAAGGAGCAGAGACCAGTGACCATAAGGAGCAGAGACCAGTGACCATAAGGAGCAGACCAGTGACCAGAAGGAGCAGAGACCAGTGACCATAAGGAGCAGAGACCAGTGACCAGAAGGAGCAGACCAGTGACCAGAAGGAGCAGAGACCATAAGTGTTAATGTGGAGTGTGTGGGTCCTCTCTGTCCTCTGACTCCTGCATCAGGGGAACTCTAAACTCAGTGGGAGAAAAGTGAGAAACCTCAGGGAGGCCTTCTACTCATACTTTTCCTGCAGGGGGCGCCATACGCAGCATCACTGACAGTCTAAGATGTTTAGTCTTCCCTCAGTCTGACCTTCCTAACATCTGCTAAACTGAAGAGGACTGTTTTAGTCTTGGATGTAGAGCCCGTGTCTGCTTCTTTAACGTGGACGAAGCTAACTCCACAGTAACAGAGCTTGTAGCAAAATGCTCTGCAGCTGACAGCGTTCTGACTCTTTAGGACCCAGCAGACTCTGGTGTTCTGACTCTTTAGGACCCAGCAGACTCTGGTGTTCTGACTCTTTAGGACCCAGCAGACTCTGGGGTTCTGACTCTTTAGGACCCAGCAGACTCTGGGGTTCTGACTCTTTAGGACCCAGCAGACTCTGGGGTTCTGACTCTTTAGGACCCAGCAGACTCTGGGGTTCTGACTCTTTAGGACCCAGCAGACTCTGGGGTTCTGACTCTTTAGGACCCAGCAGACTCTGGGGTTCTGACTCTTTAGGACCCAGCAGACTCTGGGGTTCTGACTCTTTAGGACCCAGCAGACTCTGGTGTTCTGACTCTTTAGGACCCAGCAGACTCTGGTGTTCTGACTCTTTAGGACCCAGCAGACTCTGGTGTTCTGACTCTTTAGGACCCAGCAGACTCTGGTGTTCTGACTCTTTAGGACCCAGCAGACTCTGGTGTTCTGACTCTTTAGGACCCAGCAGACTCTGGGGTTCTGACTCTTTAGGACCCAGCAGACTCTGGGGTTCTGACTCTTTAGGACCCAGCTGACTCTGGGGTTCTGACTCTTTAGGACCCAGCAGACTCTGGTGTTCTGACTCTTTAGGACCCAGCAGACTCTGTTGTTCTGACTCTTTAGGACCCAGCAGACTCTGGCGTTCTGACTCTTTAAGACCCAGCAGACTCTGGTGTTCTGACTCTTTAGGACCCAGCAGACTCTGGCGTTCTGACTCTTTAGGACCCAGCAGACTCTGGCGTTCTGACTCTTTAGGACCCAGCAGACTCTGGTGTTCTGACTCTTTAGGACCCAGCAGACTCTGGTGTTTTGACTCTTTAAGACCCAGCAGATTCTGGTGTTCTGACTCTTTAGGACCCAGCAGACTCCGGTGTTCTGACTCTTTAGGACCCAGCAGACTCTGGCGTTCTGACTCTTTAGGACCCAGCAGACTCTGGCGTTCTGACTCTTTAGGACCCAGCAGACTCTGGTGTTCTGACTCTTTAGGACCCAGCAGACTCTGGTGTTCTGACTCTTTAGGACCCAGCAGACTCTGGCGTTCTGACTCTTTAGGACCCAGCAGACTCTGGCGTTCTGACTCTTTAGGACCCAGCAGACTCTGGCGTTCTGACTCTTTAGGACCCAGCAGACTCTGTTGTTCTGACTCTTTAGGACCCAGCAGACTCTGGTGTTCTGACTCTTTAGGACCCAGCAGACTCTGCTGTTCTGACTCTTTAAGACCCAGCAGACTCTGGTGTTCTGACTCTTTAGGACCCAGCAGACTCTGCTGTTCTGACTCTTTAGGACCCAGCAGACTCTGGTGTTCTGACTCTTTAGGACCCAGCAGACTCTGGGGTTCTGACTCTTTAGGACCCAGCAGACTCTGGTGTTCTGACTCTTTAGGACCCAGCAGACTCTGGTGTTCTGACTCTTTAGGACCCAGCAGACTCTGGTGTTCTGACTCTTTAGGACCCAGCAGACTCTGGGGTTCTGACTCTTTAGGACCCAGCAGACTCTGGTGTTCTGACTCTTTAGGACCCAGCAGACTCTGGTGTTCTGACTCTTTAGGACCCAGCAGACTCTGGGGTTCTGACTCTTTAGGACCCAGCAGACTCTGGGGTTCTGACTCTTTAGGACCCAGCAGACTCTGGGGTTCTGACTCTTTAGGACCCAGCAGACTCTGGTGTTCTGACTCTTTAGGACCCAGCAGACTCTGTTGTTCTGACTCTTTAGGACCCAGCAGACTCTGGCGTTCTGACTCTTTAAGACCCAGCAGACTCTGGTGTTCTGACTCTTTAGGACCCAGCAGACTCTGGCGTTCTGACTCTTTAGGACCCAGCAGACTCTGGCGTTCTGACTCTTTAGGACCCAGCAGACTCTGGTGTTCTGACTCTTTAGGACCCAGCAGACTCTGGTGTTTTGACTCTTTAAGACCCAGCAGATTCTGGTGTTCTGACTCTTTAGGACCCAGCAGACTCCGGTGTTCTGACTCTTTAGGACCCAGCAGACTCTGGCGTTCTGACTCTTTAGGACCCAGCAGACTCTGGCGTTCTGACTCTTTAGGACCCAGCAGACTCTGGTGTTCTGACTCTTTAGGACCCAGCAGACTCTGGTGTTCTGACTCTTTAGGACCCAGCAGACTCTGGCGTTCTGACTCTTTAGGACCCAGCAGACTCTGGCGTTCTGACTCTTTAGGACCCAGCAGACTCTGGCGTTCTGACTCTTTAGGACCCAGCAGACTCTGGTGTTCTGACTCTTTAGGACCCAGCAGACTCTGGCGTTCTGACTCTTTAGGACCCAGCAGACTCTGGTGTTCTGACTCTTTAGGACCCAGCAGACTCTGTTGTTCTGACTCTTTAGGACCCAGCAGACTCTGGCGTTCTGACTCTTTAGGACCCAGCAGACTCTGGTGTTCTGACTCTTTAGGACCCAGCAGACTCTGCTGTTCTGACTCTTTAAGACCCAGCAGACTCTGGTGTTCTGACTCTTTAGGACCCAGCAGACTCTGCTGTTCTGACTCTTTAGGACCCAGCAGACTCTGGTGTTCTGACTCTTTAGGACCCAGCAGACTCTGGGGTTCTGACTCTTTAGGACCCAGCAGACTCTGGTGTTCTGACTCTTTAGGACCCAGCAGACTCTGGTGTTCTGACTCTTTAGGACCCAGCAGACTCTGGTGTTCTGACTCTTTAGGACCCAGCAGACTCTGGTGTTCTGACTCTTTAGGACCCAGCAGACTCTGGTGTTCTGACTCTTTAGGACCCAGCAGACTCTGGTGTTCTGACTCTTTAGGACCCAGCAGACTCTGGTGTTCTGACTCTTTAGGACCCAGCAGACTCTGGTGTTCTGACTCTTTAGGACCCAGCAGACTCTGGTGTTCTGACTCTTTAGGACCCAGCAGACTCTGGTGTTTTGCGAGGGCTCAGACCTCGCAGACCAACAAGTCATTCATGTTGGTCTGAGAACATGAATGACTTTTTTTGTTAGAATAACATTTAAAATCCTTCTTTTATCGTCCACAGAAGATAATGGAGTGATTTTGATACCGGAGTTATGTGCTCCCTCTTTTTGGAGCCTGTTTAGATCCTTGCTGCAACCCTAGAGTGGTTGTTGTTTACATGTTGTTGTTGTTTACAGGTTGTTGTTGTTTACAGGTTGTTGTTGTTTACAGGTTGTTCGGTCACAGTGGGGCGTGTGCCTCCTGTGGACAGTCTATTCCAGCGAACGAGATGGTGATGAGAACCCAGGGGAATGTTTACCACCTCAAAGTAAGACCAGGGTCTGTGTATATACACTGAGACAGTATGTATAAATACTGAGACAGTATATATACTGAGACAGTATGTATACTGAGACAGTATGCATATATATATACTGAGACAGTATGTATACTGAGACAGTATGTATATATATACTGAAACAGTATGTACGTATACTGAGACAGTATATATATACATACTGTCTCAGTATACATACTGTCTCAGTATATATATATACATACTGTCTCAGTATATATACATACTGTCTCAGAATACATACTGTCTCAGTATATATACTGTCTCAGTATTTATACATACTGTCTCAGTATACATACTGTCTCAGTATTTATACATACTGTCTCAGTATACATACTGTCTCAGTATACAGTGAATGACTCCTGTGTCTGTGCAGTGCTTCAGCTGCACCACGTGTCGGAACAGACTAATGCCTGGAGATCGCTTCCACTTCATCAACGGATCCATCTTCTGTGAACACGACCGACCAGGAAGTCTGCTGACCAATCACCTGCCTCTGCAGGGCGCCGCCCTGCTGGCCGACCAGAAGGTGACTTCACACTCTGTCTACAACACAACACACCACACTACACTACACTACACAAAACAACACACAAAGTCCAACAAGTACCAGATAGGACTGAGGTACAGGTGCAGCAGGAGCAGGCCAGACCTCAGGCTAAGCAGGGCAGGGCCTGGTTAGTACCTTGATGGGAGACCTCTGAGTTCTCTGGTCTGTTTTTGTTCTCTCTGGTCTCTCTCTCTCTTGTCTCATTGCTAAACATGAGACATTTCCTTGCTCTGGGTGTGAAAACAGGATCTTCCTCTTGGATCTTCCTCTTCCTCTCATGTCTTGTGTCTGTTTTGCAGGTTTGTTGAGCGACCACTCCTTCGCCGGCGGCCATTTTGGCTCCACACAAAGAGGACGCACTTTCTGCCATCACTGCGACGTCTCTGTCTGTGCCACATGTCCAGGAGACGCACAAGCTCCTGGCGGACACACACTGTGACACACACAGTGACACACACAGTGACACACACTGATGGACGGCTCCTGAATGACTCAAAGCTGCACCGTGTGGCATTATTTCCCCCGAGGTTTCCTGGTTTTTAATGAACTTCTGATCTGTGTGTGTTTGTGTGTGTTCATCTGATCCCAGACTGTGGTCCAGAAGAGAAGAAAACACACGCTACAACACTTACTCACACACAACAAAAACACACACCACACACACACTCATGTGTAGTGGGTCTATTAGATCCTCCAAGTTGTGTTGCAGTTGAACTATATAACAGGACCATGGTTCTGGTTCTGTCCATTGTTCTGGTTCTGTCCATGGTTCTCAGCTGATGGTATTTCTTCCCATGTTGATGTGTGTTTGACAAAATTAAAGCTGGGGTTCATAATTTTCAAATCACAAAGAAAAGTAATGTAATAAAATCCATTTAACAAGTGTTTGATTCTTTCACTCACATGTGCTTTAGAGAGAGAGACCAGAGAGAGAGAGACCAGAGAGAGAGAGAGAGAGAGACCAGAGAGAGAGAGACTAGAGAGAGAGAGAGAGAGACCAGAGAGAGAGACCGGAGAGAGAGAGACCAGAGAGAGAGAGAGACTAGAGAGAGAGACCGGAGAGAGAGAGACCAGAGAGAGAGAGAGACTAGAGAGAGACCAGAGAGAGAGACCGGAGAGAGAGACCAGCGAGAGAGAGACCAGCGAGAGAGAGACCATAGAGAGAGAGACCAGAGAGAGAGAGAGACCAGAGAGAGACAAAGAGACCAGAGAGAGACTAGAGACCAGAGAGAGAGAGAGACCAGAGAGAGAGAGAGACCAGAGAGAGAGAGAGACCAGAGAGAGAGAGACCAGAGAGAGCGAAAGAGACCAGAGAGAGAGAGAGACCAGAGAGAGAGAGACCAGAGAGAGACTAGAGAGACCAGAGAGAGAGAGAGAGACCAGAGAGAGAGAGAGACCAGCGAGAGAGAGAGACCAGAGAGAGAGAGACCAGAGAGAGAGAGAGACCAGAGAGAGAGAGAGACCAGAGAGAGAGAGACTAGAGAGAGAGAAACCAGAGAGAGAGAGAGACCAGCGAGAGAGAGAGACCAGAGAGAGAGAGACAGAGGAGTCAAACACAGGCTCCTGGTTGCCGGTCACGACACACCAACCTGTGCCTGGATTGATAACCAGAAAGCCTACGACTCAACGCCACACACATGGATCATGGAATGCTTGAAGTTGTACAATATCAACACGGCTCTAACTCGATGGGAATGTGGAAGACCACCCTTGGGGCAACTACTGTTCTGCATAGGTCCATCATGGGAGGACAAGCCCCTACATGAGGAGGTGCTGGAGGAGGCCCATCATGGGAGGACAAGCCCCTACATGAGGAGGTGCTGGAGGAGGCCCATCATGGGAGGACAAGCCCCTACATGAGGAGGTGCTGGAGGAGGTCCATCATGGGAGGACAAGCCCCTACATGAGGAGGTGCTGGAGGAGGCCCATCATGGGAGGACAAGCCCCTACATGAGGAGGTGCTGGAGGAGGTCCATCATGGGAGGACGAGCCCCTACATGAGGAGGTGCTGGAGGAGGCCCATCATGGGAGGACGAGCCCCTACATGAGGAGGTGCTGGAGGAGGCCCATCATGGGAGGACGAGCCCCTACATGAGGAGGTGCTGGAGGAGGCCCATCATGGGAGGACAAGCCCCTACATGAGGAGGTGCTGGAGGAGGCCCATCATGGGAGGACGAGCCCCTACATGAGGAGGTGCTGGAGGAGGCCCATCATGGGAGGACAAGCCCCTACATGAGGAGGTGCTGGAGGAGGTCCATCATGGGAGGACGAGCCCCTACATGAGGAGGTGCTGGAGGAGGCCCATCATGGGAGGACGAGCCCCTACATGAGGAGGTGCTGGAGGAGGCCCATCATGGGAGGACGAGCCCCTACATGAGGAGGTGCTGGAGGAGGTCCATCATGGGAGGACGAGCCCCTACATGAGGAGGTGCTGGAGGAGGCCCATCATGGGAGGACAAGCCCCTACATGAGGAGGTGCTGGAGGAGAGCCCATCATGGGAGGACAAGCCCCTACATGAGGAGGTGCTGGAGGAGGCCCATCATGGGAGGACAAGCCCCTACATGAGGAGGTGCTGGAGGAGGCCCATCATGGGAGGACGAGCCCCTACATGAGGAGGTGCTGGAGGAGGCCCATCATGGGAGGACGAGCCCCTACATGAGGAGGTGCTGGAGGAGGTCCATCATGGGAGGACGAGCCCCTACATGAGGAGGTGCTGGAGGAGGCCCATCATGGGAGGACAAGCCCCTTCATGAGGAGGTGCTGGAGGAGGTCCATCATGGGAGGACAAGTCCCTACATGAGGAGGTGCTGGAGGAGGCCCATCATGGGAGGACAAGCCCCTTCATGAGGAGGTGCTGGAGGAGGCCCATCATGGGAGGACGAGCCCCTACATGAGGAGGTGCTGGAGGAGGACCATCATGGGAGGACAAGCCCCTACATGAGGAGGTGCTGGAGGAGAGCCCATCATGGGAGGACAAGCCCCTACTGGAGGAGGCCCATCATGGGAGGACAAGCCCCTACATGAGGAGGTGCTGGAGGAGGCCCATCATGGGAGGACGAGCCCCTACATGAGGAGGTGCTGGAGGAGGACCATCATGGGAGGACTAGCCCCTACATGAGGAGGTGCTGGAGGAGGCCCATCATGGGAGGACAAGCCCCTTCATGAGGAGGTGCTGGAGGAGGTCCATCATGGGAGGACAAGTCCCTACATGAGGAGGTGCTGGAGGAGGCCCATCATGGGAGGACAAGCCCCTACATGAGGAGGTGCTGGAGGAGGCCCATCATGGGAGGACGAGCCCCTACATGAGGAGGTGCTGGAGGAGGCCCATCATGGGAGGACGAGCCCCTACATGAGGAGGTGCTGAAGGAGGCCCATCATGGGAGGACGAGCCCCTACATGAGGAGGTGTTAGTATTAGATAGCAATATGGCCTACGTGCAGGACTCTACAAGGACTGTACAAGGACTCCATGTTATGACTATGATGTGACTGTCTCTTTGTGACACGTATGTCTTTCGATGTGTGACGTGACAATGACTATATAAACTGTGTACTGCCTTTATTCTGTCTGAGAGAAAGAAACAGAGTAAACCAGTGGAACTTGAGAGAAACTTAAATAAACTTCCAGAGTTTGGCACACCACGATCCGTCTCTGTCTGCTTGAATCCTAACAGATTTGGTGGAGAATGCGCGGCTCCGTGTGTGCCATTCTCTGGATTGTTTTGGGGGAGTTTGCTTTGTTTCTTTTCCTCGGCGTGAGAGATCGGCATGCTGTGTCTGGGAGCGGAGATTCCAGCAGGCTGGAAGAGCTGTTCCTGGATGCTTCTTGTCGCTTCTGTCACTTTTGTTTTTTTAAATTGAATATTCCGACGCGGAAAAGAGTTGGCAGACCTCTCGGACAGTCCGTGCAGGCACCTGTTTGACAAGAATAAGGTAAGCAGACACCTTTTTATATGTAAAGTCTGCATAATTGGATACTAGCTAAATTTTGGTCTGTTTTTGAGGTCTGTCGAACTCTCTAAATTGTGTTCAAATAAGTGAGGATCCATAAAGTGAAAAGTGTTGGCCATAAGTGAGGATCCATAAAGTGAAAAGGCCATAAGTGTATAGGATCCATAAAGTGAAAAGGCCATAAGTGTAGGATCCATAAAGTGTAAAGGCCATAAAAAGTGTAGGATCCATAAGTGAAACCATGGTGTAAAATTAAAAGTAATTATAAAAAGGGAAACGTGTTAAGGAGGCCTTTGTTACAAAAGCGTTGAAATTGACGAATTTCAGGCTGATAAATGACAAAAGTAAAGAAGCAACAATATTTCAGTGATCACGGTTTAAATTACATACAGAAAAAGGGAGTTTTTGTTTTTGGCGTGAACAGAGTTCACCGGAGAATGCAGAGTTTTATCTAAAGTTGAGCTATGAGAGCTTTCGTGAGTTATTTACATTTTTTGCCGAGTTATATCTACAGTTAAGCTATGAGAGGGTAGTATCCAACAGGTTGTTTTTGTTTTTTTAGAAAGAGATTTTGAGTTTAAATTAGTTTGCTACCTCGATAAAATAGAAGCGTAAACGTTAAAGACAAGAGTGCCTTTTGTTACTAGTGTGGAAAGTGATCACTTCTAGATTTGGATGACAAAAGTATAAAGAACAACATCAGTTATATTTGCTTAACAAAGTAATCTTGAAAGTTATTCTTCTGTATCTTTTTGCCTGTGTGTGTGTGCACATCTCTAGCTGCTGCCGTTGTCAGGGAAACGGCCCCCTCCTTCGCTGCTCTGGCTGTGAATCTGAAGCAAAGCTACTGCTTTAGGATTTTTGGCTTTTCATAGTTGTTATTCCGTTAAATTTGCTAAATTTGCCATTTGAACATTGTGTTAGACACAGTTAAACGTTTTTAAACACCATTAGGGAATAAAAGTTTTGAATTAGTATGTTTTTGAAACCCAAAGATTAGTACAAAAAGCTTTGCTTTTCTTTTTAAATCTGCTGCTTATTTTGTGAGTCCATTATTGTATCTGATATTTCATAGCTGTTTGTGAGAATTTTTTCATGTATTTTTATTTTAGTTACAAAAGCCGTTTTTCAAACATTTAAATTAGAATCTGTTAAAAGTGATTAATGATTGTAGACTTCGTCTAAAAAAGAAAGAGGGAATTAGGCTGTAAAAGTATTATATTATTAAGTTAAACTACCCAATTCACATTCAAGCGGTGACTTTTGTTTTTGTTTTGACTACACGCCTGACCTTGTTGCTCCTGCTGATGCCACAGCAGAGGAGACTGGTCTAAAATGTGCTCCAATTCATACTGAC